GAAAAATACTGGGTAGTTTTTTCACTTACAGGAGGAATATAGGGAACCCCCCCCCCGCCCCAAAGGGTCAAAAAAAAATTTTGCAGGCAAACTATAGATCTGAGACATAAAGCAGGGGTGGGGGTGAGAGTTAACATAGGGGAAGGGAAGAGCACAAGGGGCTGTGATGATGGATCACAGGGTTCACAGGGTTGTAGTGGTGGGAGAATTATGGGGACTACACCTGAGGGCAGAAATCAAATACTGTACAGAAATGAACAACAGTGTAAGAAAATTTTAAAGTTTTAAAAAATCACTATAAATGTATATGGTATTACCAAAGGAATAAAAATATGCCTATATAAAAGAGCATCAGAAATAAAATTTGTATGTAATTGGGAAAAAAAAATACCCCAAGTCACATGCAGAAACCAGGACTGTCCTGGGCAAATTGGTACATTCAGTCCCCCCATCCTCTAAGAAGGATAAAGAATACTAACAAGTTGGAAGAGGGCATGAATAACATGTAAAGTTTCCTGGGATCAGCTCAGACACTGACTTATCCCTCAGGCCAAGCAACCCAAAGGTGAATGTTTTGGGGCCTGGAAGGCTTAATAAGGATCAGATCTTTGTTGACCCAGCATTTTCTCTGCTCCTACTGCTAATTATAATAAATAAGACCAATAACTACCGTGTATTGAGCACTCAGTACAGGCTGGCCACTCTAAGAAGCACTCTATGTGAAGATTGTCATTCAGCAACTTCAGAAGAAGGGTACCACTGTTACCTTCATTTTGCTACTAAGGAATTAGTAACCCAGAGAGGTTGAAAAACTTACCCACGATTATTCGGCTGGGAGGTGTTAGGACAGGAATTTGAACCAGACCACTAACCGTGATGTTAAACAATCATGACTTCTTTTTCCCTTTTGGGGTGCAAGCTGTTTCAAGGACCCAGGAGTCTGGCATAAGAGGAGCGCATGGCTAAACAAACTCCAGAGTGGAAATTCGGGAGCCTCGAGAGCACCCAGCCTTTCTCAGTTCCAACCTACCTCCATGATGAGATGAAATAACCTAGGGTGATGCCAGGTGGTTTCACCTCAACCAGCATCAGGCTTTTGTGTTTGTTCCTCCCTTGTGATGCTGTGTGGACTAACGCCTGCTTCAGACGGGAAACTTATCCCTCCAGATAGCAGCATAGCCTTTCTAGAAACCTGGTCACCATTGGACCACACGGCCCAGATTTAATTCTGTCCATCAGTCAATCGGAGGCCCTCCGTAATTATCTTTATTACCTTTCTCTGAACCCCCTTCAATTTGCTGGCATATTGCTTTTTGAGGAGTGAGATTCCAGAAATACTCAGAAATTATAGTCTCCTGTGTCATGATGTGATGCTTTGGCCTAGGAAGCTGAAAATCATTGATATCATAGCCTGCAATCAATTTGGGTATCTTCAATTAACTTGAAATTTTTTTTTTTTAAAGATTTATTTATTTATTCATACAGAACTGGGGTATAGGCCAGATGCTCAGGGACGGTGAGAGGCTTCACCAGAGACAGAGTGGGGAGCAGAACAGGCAGATTGACGAAGTACACTGCTGAGGGGAGCAGCGGGCGGGTCAGGAGAGGTCTGGCTCGCCATGTGGTCTCCTCCGGGGCAGGCGGCAGGCGGGAATCGAACTCATGCGGAAGTGGCTTCAGATTCTCAGTGCTGTGCTTTAACCCGCTGCGCCACCAGGGAGGGCCAACTTGAAATTTTTTTTCAGTTAAGGTGAGCACTTGGCTCAAAGTCAATACAGCTTATATCTGGAATATTCCAAGGGGTGTGTGTGTTAAGCAAAATTAATGAAGAAAATTCAGGAAGGGAAAAAAAAGTTCTTGATCTTCACTCATTTTTTGATCATTTGCTATATCCTAGATCCCAGACACTATGTTTAGGAGAATCTTATCTTGGAATGCTTTTAATTTCTAAAATGTTTGTTCATTAAAAATTATCCTTGTTTTCTTGGATGCTTCTTTCCCTTCAGTGTCAGCATTTTGATTCCATGTTACTATTTGTAGATTGACTGCTCTTTATTTTCTAGTGACAGTGCCCATTTGTGACTCAGGCTATAGTAGTCTTTGCTTTGGATATTTTGGAGTTAGTTATACAAAGGCATGAGTGAATAATTATATTGCTCAGGTTAGCATATTAAAATACTAGTTGTGCAGTGTTCTTTTCCTGTAAGCAAAAATGGAAGACTCAATTAAAATGAAGTTTAAAAAACATAATTTGAAATCACTTTTAATCTTTCAGATTTAAGGCACTTTGGTTATTTTTTTTTTCAAGTCTATTTGTTCCTACTGTGGCTTTTTTTTTTCTTTAACTTTGTATTATATGCCCAAAGAAGGCTAGATGATTATCAGTTCCCAAAGTGACATGCCAGCAGATGTGGCTCTGAAGTTCCAACATTTAAAACTTTGTTAGAATGTAATGAAAACAGGAGAACCATGCAGCTTCTCAAGGAGGGAAAGCTGGAGCTTACAGAGTCAAATCACTCATCTCCAGAGCCGGGGCCCATCTCCTCTTGCCCAGGTAATGGTTTTGACAGCTGATGCTGGTCCCAGCTCTGTTTGCTACCCCAACATCTGTTTCCTGAAGCCCTGCTATTTCTAATTGGGGTACAGATCTAGCTGATGTGTTCAACCCACCCAGGTCATTTCTTTTGCAGTTTGGTCTTCTCAAATAGTTTCTTTTCGTTCATGGAGTAAAATTTCATTTTATTTCAAGAATCTCCTGCAGTTTCAAAGTTGGCCTCATTTTCTGTCAGGTCAGCCTCACCTGGGCTAAGAGAGATGATACAGAAATCATTAATCTGTTTTTGCTTGACAATGAACACAGATCACATTATTTAGTGTGTCCCTCTGGTTAAAAACAATAACACAACGTCACCCCAAATACCAAATACCACCCCAAATAAAACTTCACTGCAAAGTCACAACAATATTCTCTCCTGAACCTCCCTTGACTTTGTGTCTTTCTATAATATACAGTATAATTTATAAAAGTGTGAGCAACTGTGGAATTGTTCTCCTAATAGATTCTGAAGATTCCAATTTCCATTCTGCCACACAAGACTGAAAATCCACTTGTGCTCACTTATCTGTATCTGTACCTCATCCCCACGCTGCATCAAAAATCAGGTTCAGGTGCAGGTTAAGAGTGCGCATTTACCTTCAGAATATGGGACTTATTAAATATCTCTCCACAATTAACATCACCATATCAATAAGAATTATCATTAGGTCCTGTCAATCAGGTGCTGAATTTTGCTTCAGGGAAACAAAACAATTTAAATTATAGCAAGTGCTCCCCTTCTTTTTTTACGTGCTTCTCTTTAAATTGGATAATTATGTGGCTTTTCATTAGATTCCTCTAAGCGTAATAGATCACGATATTCACCCTTTGACCTTGGTGATGAATGTCTCTGGTGAAAACATGTGACAAGCAGTGTTCTAATGAGAACAAAATACTGACTAACTGGAAATCTTGTATAATGAAAAGGGAAAGCAGAAGGGAAACACAGCAACCCTTAAGGTTGGTGCACAAAATGTATTGGTATTGCAGCCATGATATGAGTTGGGGAGAAAGTAATGTGGGTGGAAATGCTGGTTTTTCTCCTTTGGCATGTTGGAAAAAAAAAAAAGGAGAAACAGACATTTCAGGAAAGTCGCACATCAGAAAATACTGGTCTCGGCTGAATTGCAAGCACAGATGGAGTGAATCCACTGGCCTAAGGGGGGATTCAAATGACTTGATGCATCTTAGAATACCTGCAAATGGCAGTCTGAGGGTACCTCTCATTTTATGGCTGTTTTTATGGGAGTTCCAAATGTGAGGGCAGCTTATAAAGGAAGTGATTTGGTCTTGGGGGACCAATAATCATATTGGGACTGTCAAAGAAGGGCAAGAGGAACAAGGAGAATCACAATGGCTTCCCACTTCTCTACCTCCTACTCAGTCCCTGGGCAGCATACCTTGCTGGAGCTCTGGGACCTTCCTGTCTCCAATGTCCTCATTCTCTGATGTGTGTGTACGTGTGTGTGCATGTGTGTGTGGTGGGGGGAGGGGTCCGGCTACCCTCAAGTTGGCCCTGAGATGTAGCCCATGGACATTAAGGATGTGCATTAAGGACATGCTACTTCTTGCTTCCTTCCTCAATTCCCTATCCAACACAAGTTCCCTTAAAAACTAGTTTGGGGGCTGATCCGGGCACAGCTTTGCGATGAATGGGGGATTTCTGTAACATCATCCAGTGATATGGTGATGTGCTCTGGAGTCACGGAAATGGGCGAAGTTTGCTTCTTTTAAATTTCCTACATGCTTGTCTAGCCATTTAACACAAGAGCAGCCCATTATAAAACCATTTATCAAAGACATGGATTTGCTCTATCCTAAGAGGACATGGAGTCTGAGGTAGGAGTTACTTGCTAAAAGCACAAGTTAGGCTGTGATAGTTCAGTGGTGGAAGAAAAGGAGTCAGGAACCACCACTTACTATTGTGTGCCTATTATGTGCCAAGGGCTCTACCTGGATATGTGCTCTCTGATTTAATTCTCCCAGTAAGCCTCCTCACCCCATTTTATGACTTAGGAAATGGCCTCACCTGACCCAGAATGGCATGACAGGAAGGCTGGCTTATGACCATATAAGCTCTGGGTAGGAAGAGCATGTGCTGTTAACGTTTCCCACGAACTATACATTTATCAAAATTTTCCCCCCAACTTACTTTTCTAGGGCTCATGCTTAGAATTGATGTGGGTTATCATGGACTTAATAGTATCACTATCAGTTTTGCTAGGCATGCAGTTTATTTTGCTTAATAGAAGACATGCAAGAGAAGAAACATCTGTTTCTAAAAATTAATTTCTTCCGGTGAATTCCAACTTGGGATAAGAATTTGCAGTGAGTGATGGTGTGCTTATGGAGGATAAAGAAACTGACCAATCTAGAAACCATGATTTCCTTTGTTTATCTGCAGATCTGGTCTATTTAAGATAAAAATTCACCCTGAGCGCTCCTCCCTGACCTCTGCCAGGTGGGTTGGAGTGGCGACATCATCACTACCGGCAATCCTTCACCTCTTTCCACAAGAGCCTGCCAGGAAGAGAAATATCTGAAGTACATTTTGAGCTCTCAGCCTGGGATTTACCTGCGATTTGTCATGGACATTGGGCAATTACTGGCACACGAGCCAGAGAAGTGAGAGAGGCGAGGCTTTGCCTCTCCTGCAAGACCATCATCTTTGCATCCGTCATTCTTCTAGACGTCTCTAGTTTGCGTTCCCAGCTCAAACTGCACAGAAAAGAGATCTTTTAGCTTTTCCCTAGTCACCCACATGCTGAGAAAACTGGAGAAAATGGGTAATAGTCGTTGTTATCAGTACTTGTACGCTTCAGGAGGTATCCCCAAGAACTGTATCTAAAGAGAGGCTGTCATTCTCTGAGATTTAAGCCTTCAACACAAAATACAAGAATGGAGGTACTAGCAATCATGTGAAGGAGCTGAAATAGCTCCCCAGCTGCACAACTCACATCCAAACCTGCTTGAACATTTTATTAGAAAATCTAAAGAAAAATGAATTGATCAGAAAAGGGGGAGGGTTGTTCAGTCATGGAAGCACAGAGGCAAATGTTACCAGGGTTCATCTACATCTTTTCCAGGGACAGGAAGCTGGAGTCAGTGGACGTAGGTGGCCACCGATGCCCTTGGGAGACACATCTCTAATAACCACACGCATTCAATGTATGTGACTGACAAACTTCAAGGCTTCAGCTCCCTTTGATAACATCCCATCCTGTTATTGAGCCCCCTTTAGACGTTCAGCCTTCCCTGTCTTCATTCAGTATATTAAATACCTTCAGACTGTTGCTTCCCAACAACACTTGCAAACAGAAAGCAAACAGAATGATGCCATGACTTAGAAGATCCCTGATACATTTCTCACTGTCAATGCCTATGCTGTGTTTTGATCTTATATCCACATGCTGTGCTCCTGATATGTCTCCTTTGCCTCTCTGCACTGACACTGGCATTCAAGCTGAAGACTAGACCCTGGGCCCTGGAAGCACACCCAGCCAATGCCTGCTAAGGAATCCCCTCCAGGTAAAGCTGCTGGCACTTTACTTTGGCATCTACCTTTACCCAGATGTGTTCCTGAAAGTGTATTTTCTTTCTTTTGCCATTTTAACCATTTTGAAGTATACAATTAAGTGACATTAAATACATTTACTTTATTGTATGCCATCACCACCTCTCTTCTCCAGAACCTTTCATTTCCTATTGAAACTGCACCCATTAAACAATATTCCCACTCTCCCCGAGTTTATCCATTTTTCTGTCAACAAGGTTCTGTCAACAAATATTTGACTTGTTTCTACCTTTGGCTCTTGTGAATTATGTTATGAACATGGGTGTATGACTCTCTGCTCAAGTTCTTGCTTTCAAGTATTTTGAGTAGGAGAGAAAAAAATTTTAAAGCTTTTCAGTAGTCATATCTTATTTTCCCATAGTGCTTTGTAGTTTGCAGAACATGTCAACATATTCACCTGATCCTGTGAGGGAAAAAGGTAAGGAGAGAGTTAACAATCACCCTCATTTTGTTCATGGCAAACTAGAGTTCAAAGAGGTGAAGTGGGGAAGCCTGTATTCAAATGTTGGCTCTCACCACAAGCCTTGTATTCTTTACATTACAGAGCTGTCTCAGAGAGGACAGCAGCAAAGTTTGCCTTACTCACTGTGGGCCCCAGGTCCAATAGGAACCCTAGTGCAGGGTTAGTCACACAGGCACTTGACAAATGTGTGGAATGACTGCTGCTCATCTCCCTCCCAGACCTCAGGAGCCGACGGCATGAGGCCTGGGGGATACTTGGTGGGACACATTGGTTAACCAAGTTGGCTGAGGGGGTCTTAAAGTCCACTCTAGGTTTCCTGAGGAAGACCAACTTGTTTCCTAGCTGACTGGTGGAGATTGACTGGAATAGAGGTGATGACTCCCCTACTTCTTTGATCCCAAAGGGGTATACACTCCCTGTTTCTGTAGTACGTGCATTTGTTGTTATGACAAGGAGAAAAATGTTCTTGGGCCTAGAAGAAAACCTGAGTGCACCGAGGAATAGCACTTGAATAAGTTTTTCCTTGCCCTGTAGACACCCACAGGTACATCTTACTCTGGTCATCTGGTTAAGACGTGAATCGTGTCCTGAAAGGGAAAATGAAATCTCAAGATTTTAATTAATGTTGTCATCTTCTGATTGAAAGAAAAGTCAAAGCATATTTATTATCACGGGACACAAAGGAAAGGGCCATTGAAAGTGAGAGAGATGCTATGTCTTCAGAAGTACTTGGAACATTCTCTCTCATGTCTAGCTTCACTCATCATTAAAACTGTACAGGTTTTGGCACATAATCAGTTCGATAACTTTTTTGTTGGAAGTGAAAACAAGAAAAATTTTCTCCAACAAAGGGAATATAACCCATGTTGGAGTCAATTCTGCCAAACTGTGGTCTCATAAACTGTGGTCTCATATCCCAAGCCTTCAGGAGCTTGGGATAACCTCAACCAACTCTATCTTTGGGAGAATTCTATCTGTATCTTATTTCAGCTGTGTGTCTTAACTTTTTAATGGTCTCAGTAGCAGAGATACATACTAAGTTGAGTTTTGAGACTAGAGACTAGAACCTGTTATTTCTGAGTTCTTGATGTGGTCCCAGATCCATGTCAGTCCTGGGTTCAGAGTAGTCATCATAGAAATTTAGTTGAGGAACTTAGCCTAGATAATCACTTAGCCAAGGTACCACACTCAATCAGGGTGTTATTGTTGTTGTTGTTGTTATTATTTACTTTAGAGGTAGAAGGGGATGGTGACAAGTTGAGGTGCCATTTGGGTGAGGAACTGTAGATGGACAAATATGAGCGCCATGGTAACTGGACAAGGGACCCTCCTGGAGAATCTCCCTTCCTCAACTCACTTCTTCAAATGTGCCCTGGAAAGTTCACAGACATGTTGCTGAATCAAACATTCCAGGAAACACTGATATAGACAATTTGTAATTCATTGCGTAATTACTGGAATTCATTGGATAATTACCAACTCTCCACACCACTCTCCTCAGTGGAGACCTGGCCTGAGTATTCTCCAAGTCTGAACTTTTAGATATGAACTCAAATCAATAGAGAGCTGAATAATGAAGAGTTACTGTCAGAGAGCATTCCAGTTAAAGGAATAATGCCCACATCCACATGTATTGATATTGAAGCACCACATGTATATTTAAAATATGGCAAAGTGTAACACGTGCATTTTGCATTTGAATTATCTTTTGCCTATCATTTAAAGTTACTCCTAAAGTAAATCATTTGGCTTTCCAACAAGGACATTTTTTTAATTTTACAACATGTAATATATTTGTAACGACCTGTCATTTTTCTGAACTCAGCCTTGCAGGACACAGAAGGACTGCCATAAATGTAAGGGGTACCAAGGGCAATCTATCCCTCTGTGGTTTGTTGAAGGAAGAGGAGGAGAGAGTGGGGAAGGAGAAAAAGGGGTAAGAACTAAACAGGTTCAGACAGCCCGTACTGGTCCCCATCACTGCTGAATCCTGGCCAGGCTTCTCTGGGGGACCACAGTCAAGTGCCAGGTTCTATATTGTTATTTCAGAATGATTCTGGGATAACCTTCTGGTGGGAAGAGAAGGGAAATCAACATTTAGTGAGCAAGTATCGCATGCCAAACATCCTTCATTCCATTTAATCCCCCAATAATGTGAGAAGCTAACTTTTTCACATTCTATTTATAAGAAAATTGAGATTCAGGACATTAATTTGGCCAAGATCTCATAGAAAGAATGGAAGAACTGAGACTTGGCATCTCGGTCATTGCTCCCTTAGCTTAATGAAAGGAAACTGAAGGTTATGGTCAATTACTTCTGTTTTGGAGGGAGGCGACCAGGCAGCAGCTGGCATCAAAAATTCCATTTGCTAGGCAAGGGAACAGAGGGGGGAAATAAACTCCTCTTGGTAATCCTGAAGGCCGTGAGGATGGAGTAAAGAGGGTGCCAGCAGCACCATGTGTTCAGGGTAGTGTTTGTGGCGGCCACAGGAGTGGTCTCTGATGAAGAACCACCTGGCAACAGATGGCTGAGCAGAGCTAGGCTTTATAGTTTCCTTGTACATGACAGGCACATCAGAGGGTGGATTCAAATAAATGTTGTTCACCTGTCAAGTGCTTATGGAGTTCCTACTGCATTTTGGGTGTTGACAAAGTGGTGAGCAAGCAAAGTTCCTGCTTCAAATGAGCTTATTTTTAATGGACCGATGATGAGTAAGTAAATAAGTAGAACTTGGCTTAACAGATGGTGATAAGCTGGATGGGGAAAAGTCAAGTAGAAGAAGCAAACTAGAGGGATGATGTATGTGCATTTTATGTTGGTCATCAAGGAAGGCTTCCCTGCTAAGTGACTTTGAGCAGGATATGGAGGAACTATAATGAGTTATTTTACTACCTGGAACATTCCATTTTAGTCAAGGAATAGTAATATGCTGGACATATATGAAGAACCGGAAGAGGCCATTGTGGCTAACAGAGAGGGAGATGGAAGGATAGACAGAAGTAGCTGAGGTCAGCATATGTAGGACACTTTTTAGGCTATTGTAAAACTGTTGCATTTGATCCTGAGTGATCTGGGAAGTCATTAGAAGCCTTTGAGCAGAGAAGTGACATGATCTGACATTTATTTATTTTTTTAATTCAACATTCACTATGAATTACTTTCTTTAGGCTAGTTTAACCTCTCAACTTACATTGGTGGTTACTAAGCACAGAAGCACAGTGAGTATTTGAATTTAAAAATTTTAAATCTCGATAAAATGAATTAAAACAAAGTTAAGAATCCATTTCCTCAATTGCAGTGACCACATTTCAAGTGTGTAACAGCACATGTGGCTGATAGCTGCCAATTTGGACAGCACACATATAGAAAATTTTCATCATTGCAGAAGATTCTATAGGACAGGGATGCTCTAGGCAGCTAACTTTGCGGGGTTAACTATAGATTGGGCTCTGAACCTTGGCGATGGTAATTATTATTAGAATTCATCATCCCTAGCTTCCCATTCAGGATCTGTGTTCTAGCAATTAATCCACACTCATTGCCACTGCCTACAGGCTCTTCGTAGACTGGCTTTTGTCTACTTGTCTGGCTTCATTGGTATGAGGCCTGGTCTTATACATTTTCTCACCATCAAACCCCATGCTTACCCCAGCTTCCTCCCTCCCCCAACCCTTCCAACCTTTTCCCTATTTGCCTTCCTCCCTCATCCATTCCACCCCCCCATTTTCTAATAACCATTATCTTCTTTTTGCCAAGTTCAAATTTCATTCCTTCTATTTCTGTGTTTAGTTTTTTAAATGTGTTGCTTTTTAAAATTTATATTCTATAGATGAGTGAAATTATCTGATATCTTTTACTTTTTGACTGATTTCACTCAACATAATCAGTTTGAGTTCCATCCACTTGGTCTCACATGACTGGTTTGCTTTTCATGCTGTGTAATATTTCACTGATTACTTCCAATGTCATCCCATCCCACCCCTTTTATTTTAGAGGCAGATTAATTGGTGCACAGGCTATGCTGAGCGTAGAGTGCACTGGGCTGAGGGTAGAGGCAGGAAGATACTTAGAAGGCTGCTGCTGTCATCTTGGTAAGATACGGTGGTTTGGAGCAGGGAGATGACAGCAGAGGGAGTGAGAATATAGTTGAAAAGAGTCAGTTTGATTTGCTGATGGACTGGAATGTGGAGTGTATAAGAGGTCAAGAATGACTAAGGCTTTGGTTCTGAATAAAAGATGGGAGAGCATTGATATTAACTAAGAAGGATGCTGGAGCAGATTTTGATACATGTGTACATAGGCTGGGTAAGAGGTGGAGCAGGAATTAGGGACTCGTTTTTGGAAATAATAAGTTTGTGATGTCTGTTTTGTCCAATTAGTGCTCTTCCTTGAGAATGGAGTGTCTAGACTGGAGTATGGGACTTATTAACAAATAGATGGTATTTATAACCATGAGATGGGAAGAGATCAGCTAGGGGTGTGGTTTAGAG